TATTGCACTACTTTTAAAAACTTGACATATCTATTATTTTTGTAAACTCATTGTATATTTAACTACTTAGTGATATAACTAATTTTGTAATTTGAACACTTAGTGGTATAACTTTATGTTGCTAGTTATGTAAGTTGAACACTTAGCGGTGTAACTTTATGCATATTTCACTACTTTTGTCAACATGATGCATATTTCACTACTCTAATTGCAATCCCATTATAACTTGGGTTCTTTTGCAGGTTTATATAAATATGGTTGGATATGATACTTGATAGTAATCTACATTGCCCGCTATATATTGGTATTGCTATCTTTGTATTGTTTAATTTGGGCAATAATGATAGCCCTATTATGAGAATGCAATCTATAATGTTTTGCGATGTTTAGGTAGGGCAATCTATGATGAGAATGCAACCTACATTGCATTTACAATGTTAGATGAGGCAATCCATTCATTTGATTGCAACCTACATTGCAACATCATTATTAGATGAGGCAATCCATGTATTTAATTTTAATACCTATATCTGAGCCCCTACAATGGTCCTATTGTAAGTATTCTAGGCTCCGTTTGGATACCATAGTGTTTTACTTGTTTTTATGGTGTTTTTGCCAAAAATAAAATATCATGCGTTTGGAAACCATTTTGTATTTTGAGCTAAATCATCCTCAAACAAAAAATAAAACACTTATTTTAAAACACCTTTTAGGTGTTTTAAGTTTGGTGTTTTAGTTTTGAGTTTGAGAATATGTTAATATAATATCTAACATAATATATTAAATGTAATTATTAATAGAGTTATTATCAAAACATGCTTATTATACTATACTATAATACTATACTATATATAGTTAATTAATATATTAGTAATATTTAATTAATAATATAAAAGAGGATAATAATAAAATATCATTATATAATAAATAATAATAATATATTAAATACCAATATTTAATACGTTAATAATATATTATATAATAAATAAATAATGAAAAAATATAAACAAACAAAATAAATAATAATATAAGTAATTGATAATAAAGTAATAATATAATATATATATATACCAATATTATAATCCATAATATTAATTAAAATTTTTTAAAAATAAATTAATAATCAATTAATAAATATAAAATATTATATTATAGTAATATATTTAATATATACTTAATAATATAAATAATAATATTATAATAATATAATTGTATAGTAAATTAGATATAACATATAGAATATAATATATTATGTAGATAATCAATTAATAATAATTTTATTATAAAGTAAAATAAATTAATAACAAAATAATTTATTACTGAACAATGTTAATTAGTAAAAATATATATATTCATAATATGTAATATTTATTTATATCATAAATACTAATGATATTATTAAAGTACCTATTAATAAACTCTAACATATTAAAACTATATTATAATAATATTGAAAATGATTTTATAAATATGATTAATTCATGTAATAATGTATTAGTAATAACATACTAATGAACATTATTGCATAATATTATATGTATATGAATATAGTAGTGAGATAGTTATAATTATATTAATAATAGTATAATATTATATTAATAATAAAATAACATTATTATAAAAATATTAATATAATATACAACAATAACAAATTGATATCTCAAAATAAATAAATATATAATTATTTGAAAATAATATGTAATAATTATAACATAATATAACTCATTCAAGTACAATATAATATTATAATACATTATATAATATTATATTGCATTATATTTAATACTTATAATACTATAATAATATAAACTAAATATTATAATATTTTATTTACAATATATTTTATTATAATTAATTTATATATTAATAATATGTTTAATATTAATTTTATAATGGGTTAAACTAGTGTTGACCAAAAATACTTAACATGGTGTTTTGAAAATATTTTAAGAGAAAAAACATAACACCATGGTGTTTTTTTACAAAAACACAACAAGAAAAAACAACATAGTATCCAAATGAATTCTTACTTATCCTGCTGATATTTATGTGCTAATCCGTATATGGATATTATATGGTGAAAATTTGTTAGTTCTCTTTTCTCCTGGTATAACTTTCTTTAGATTTTTTCCCCTACCCATATTAACTCAACAAACAAAAACTAAAGCTCGTACGTTTGCATATTATCTGTTGGACGCAGTTTGGACATCCAACGAACCCTTTTAATACGTAACAAATAAGAAAAAACTCAAATTTTATTTGATTGATTGATTGATTGAAAGAGGCTAAATTAAGTGCGAACTTTTCCTTGTTGATTAAGCATCAATAATCCACTCTTGAATCATGTTTCGGGCCTTTTGATTAGTTTTTCTTTGGGGGACCCAACATTTATTCCAACATGGCCACTAAACTTTTTGCATTAGGGGTTGTTTGGTTGGTTTAAAAGCATCAGAAAATGCCTTTAGAAAACTAACAATGAGTGTTTTTTGCATTTTTCTTCACAATCATGTTTAGTTTGTAAAAAAGAAAAAGGGAAAATGCACGGGAAAGAGGGGAGGGTGCCAGCTAGGCATTTTTCCATGAGGAAAGTGAGGGAAAGGCGGTAAGCCTTTCGTTTTTATTTAGGGATTCCGGCACTTTATTGTTTTCTTTTGGTAATTTTTTTAGATATTTGCTGAAATTGAAGAAATTTTGGTGATTTAGGGCTTCATTAGAGACTATACAAAGAGAACTAAAAAATTAGTCGGCCCATACTTTTTTTTAAGTTGAACCAAACAAAGAGAAGTGGTAGAAAGTACTTTCAGCTCATATTTTTCGACGAAACAAATACAAGAAACACTTTTCATGAAAGTGAAGGAAACATAAAAAAGTGAAGGAAACTCGTTTTTGGAAAATGAAGGAAACGTAAGTGGTTTTGGTCTCATGGGCCAAATTGTTACCCGAACCGTTAAGAACCAGACCCGGTTGTTAAGAATATCTCACGTTCTGTGAGATTTCTTCCGTTGGAGATCAGGTCTTACGATGAACGTGGTTAGATAGATATGAGGCAGATTATTGGGGATACAAGTGGAGTGGGAATGCCCATAAATAGAGAGGAGTTCTTCTCTTCTGAACACAACAATGTAAAAGAATCTTCACCGGAGTCCCAAAATTAAAACCCTCTCTCGTTCTTTCAGGAAAGCAACCAAATAACCCCTTAATAGGTGCCAAAAACTTAAGAATTTTTTTTAGATATGACTTATATAATGATGATTAAAAAAGGGAAAAAAATTCTAAGATCGCGTTGTAAATTTGCAACGATGGAGAAGAAACTATGGAAAAAGAACTTTCTTCTAAACAAATCTTGGAGAAGAACTAGGAAAAAAGAACCTTCTTCTAAACAAATATTGGAGAAAAATAAATTAAGACGGTCTTCCGTGGAAAAAAAAAGGTTCAGAGAAGGGAATGATATAAAGACAGTGAGTTAACAAAGACGACATCTAAATGACACACGCAATAAAGATAGAAACAACTAGGGCTGAGCATGGTTCGGTCCAAATAAAAAAAAACCGACCGAACCGAACCGACCCGAAAATTTTGGTTTTATGAGTAGGACGGTTCGGATCGGTTTAAAAACTTTTTAACCCGAACCGACCCGAACTGTCTGAATATAGTGCAATACTACCCATTCTGATCTCAAACCTTACCCGACCCATCCCCAAAGAGTCAAAGACTCAAACCCTAAACTCATTTTCTGAATCATTATGAGTTAAAAACAATATCATTATATCAGTATTTAATGCTTCATAATCTCCTACTTTGTTGATATTTTTTTTCTTTAACACAGTTTGTTGTTTGATAAGAAGTTTGATGAAGTTAGAACCGAACAAACCGAACCGAACCACACCGAACCGACTTGCAACAGTTCGGTTCGGTTTTGAATTATAGACGGTTCGGTTCGGTTGTTCAAATTTTGGTAAAAACCGAACCGAACCGATCGTTGCACACCCCTAGAAACAACAACTAGGTAAAGTATAGAATCTCAACAATCGTGTCTTAAAAATGTAACCACGTGCACTCAAGATAGATCAGTATCGTACATTTAGCCGGAACAACGAGACATTCAATTAGCTTATTCAATCGTGACTAGATTTTCAAATAATTATCATAAAAACATAAAATCCATTCTAATCGATAGAAAAATATAAAATCATTTTAATTAAAAATAGAAAGGTACACATCACTTAAAACAAACTTGGAACCTCTACAAGCATGATGATGCAACCGTGAATCCGTGATAATTTTAGAGGTTTGAGTCCCCTTATAAAATGAAGGTATAAATCTCCCATGGGCCAAAACCCACCCACCGATCTACTCTTAAATCCTCCAAATATTTCAACTTGGTGCAAGTTAGATGGACTAATTTCAAAACACTTAGAAGACTCGGTGGTACTAATTCAAAACATAAAGATTTGGGGAACCAAATGCAAAGTATAAAAATTTGGGAGACTAATTCAAATCATGAAAGATTTGGGGGACTACTATGGAAAACCCCATTACTAATATTGAATGTTTAATTTTTACAAAAATCATCTTCAAGTGAGGGTCAGACTGCAGTCAACCATCTTGATCTGAGAAATTTAGTTAAAATTTTCATCAGAAAATATGTCAAGGTGACTGATTACAATCGAAACCCAAAACTTTGATGATGATTTTTTTCCCACAATAATCAGTTCTTATGGAAAGAAGAACCTATAATTAGCTTTTCGGAAAATTTTCCTTTCCAAAAGAACAATTTCAAGGAAATCTTTCAACTTCTTATTTGTTATTCAACTATGGTTTGCGTCAAAAAACTCCTAATAATTTAGAATGACCTGGTCCTTTCCTACTGCTAAGAAATTCGCATATCTACAATGAAACCACGTCACCCTCCTAATATCCTCACATCCTTGATAAAAGGAGGAAAATTTTGACAAGTGAAGGTGCATCGCTTTCGGGTCTCTCTCTTGCCAGAGGTGGCCTTCCCTCTTCCTTTCTCTCTTCTTCACGGTTTCCTCATGGACTTTTCATTCAAACCCACAAACCTTTCTCTCTGTTTTCGCTTGAATTTCTCCGTGCAATGTTTTGATTTTGGCTGAGGTCTAATTTGGGTTCGCCTCTTTCCCATTATTGTTATTTTTTTTTTGGTGTTTGTTTGCTTGCACTCTATTTTAGCTCCGATTTTGATTAATTACAAGAACCATTTGGGGTTTGTTGAATTATGGGTTTTCTATGTCTAGCTCCATTTTTTTTTTTTTTTTGCTTGCACTCTATTTTAGCTCCAATTTTGATTAATCGTTCGATGCTTTATTCAAATGCCCATTTTGGGGTTTGTCAAAATTTGGGTTTTCTACGTCTTATGTTGCTTCAATTGTCAGATAAATGGGTTTGAATTCTTTGTTGCTGATTTTGATTTTGTTTGCTTTTTGAGGCAGTTCAATTAAGCTAGAACAATTGGAAGGAGCGATGGGTGGAAACTTCGGCCCAACCGAGCAACTTCTCTGGCCAATTTCGGTGTTTTCAGGCATCATCATGTGCAAAATCGTAAGCAGTGCTTCTGTACATTGCCCTTTTCAACTGTCACGTTGGTTTTTTGTTTACTGGATATGAAATTTTATTAGGGTTGCGTTTTGGATTTCGTTAGGAATTTTGTAGTCATGGGTGGTGGCTTCATTTAACTGTGTTTTGTACTTTTTAGCTGCGCTTGTATATGGAAAATGAGGACCACGCGAAATCGAAGGATTGTGGGGTTTTAAAAGGCTTATACACTGTTCACATTTCTGTACAAGGATGTGCTTTCGTTGGTGGGAGAAATTTACGAAGTACTATTTTCAGATCTTATGAGAATTAAGGATGGGGAGTCGAGAAAGAGTCCCCAGCCGCCTTGCATTACTCCAAAAAGATAGGTTGGTTACATTAAAAGGTCAAATCAATAATCCCCAGCAAGAGGATATTGGCATCAAAATTCTATCAAAAGGACAAAAAATTGTTTGCACTCTGTACACCCAAGTACAATTCCTTCCACAGCATTTATACCTACTACGCATTATCTAATTTGTAGTCTCAATCTGCCTATGAACCTCATCCGCAAAGAACTCCATAGTTCTGCCCATAGTTGCACGGAACCCGGTTCGTTCGGTTCACGGGACGGGTACGGGAGCGTGGTACGCTGCTCATTAGGAATCGGGTACGAGGGGGTAGGTTTATGCGGTCTGATAGGGTACGTGGTAAGCTTTAGGTTCGGTTCTTAAATGTAGGAATTAGACGTTTTGCAAGAGTCAAATTTAAGAAATATGCTAGTTGATATCAGTAATGGTTAAAAAAACCTTGAGAATTATGTTACAATAAGGTATGCATACTTTATTTGGTAAATTTCTCGCAGTATTTGTCGTTTATGCTTTTAAAAAGAGTTTCCCCCCTAAATTTTAACCGGTTTGAATTTTAAATCGGGTCGTGTTCCACACCAATCTGGAACGATTGAACTCGGAACATGATTTGCTATAGCGTCCCAAGTTCCCGACATCTATGTTTCAGCCCCCAGTGAACACCTCCTCTCTATCAACAAATATCATCAAGTTACCTTCAACAGCAGCGAATTCTAAAAATTCTCTTTCATTAGCGGCAGCCATCTCTAAATTTGTAGCTCCAGCATTAGTTTCTGACCACAAAACATTACGGGCACCACCTTCTGTAAACAGCTACTGTTCCACCAGAAGCATTTGCTGCTCTGAATTTGCATTTTCTGTGGCACAGCATCCTTGTACCTAGCTGGAAGGTGACCTATCCAAAAGCCGCAAAATGATTAATTTTACCAAGAATTTCCAATGCATCTTTCCTTTTTGATTGAAAAATTCTTATATTTCTCTCATACCAAACAGACCAAACAAGAGCACAGACATGAATATCCCAACTCGATCTATTATCGTTAGAAACATGAACTTTTCTCCATCATGACCGCAAATCGTTAAGACTTTCAAAATCTCCAACCACCTGAAACTTAAACATTAGAGAGTTCCACAAAGAAGACACATAATCACGTTTCATTCTCCATTTCACATAACGCACATTCCCTATCCACTAGCACTCCCTTTCTTCATTAATAAAGTCTTTGTATTAAGTTTTTCCATGATAGCCAGCCACACATGCATTTGAACTTTACTAGGCATTGGAACACTCCAAATATATTCAAAAGCACATTTTAAACCCCCATCACTAAGAAATTGATAACAAGTTTTTACAGTAAAAGTCCCTTTACTTTCCCATCTCCAAATTCTAACATCACATCCATCAGAAATTACAATGTCATTAGTCCTCTCTAACATTTCTAAGAATTGAAGCACCAGATCACCATGAATTTGTCAAACAAATGATGTATTCCATACCCAATTCCCATCTACAAAATTTATCTTGGATCTAACAGAAGTATTTGGCTCATCAGCTAATTGATATAGCTCAGGGTATAAAGTAGCTAGAGAAGAACCAACACACCACTTGTCCAACCAAAAGTAAGTGTTACTTCCGTTCCCCACCACCACTTTAGTACTTGCCAAAAAACCACCTAAAGAACTGAGAATGTCTTTACAAAATCTAGACACAGTCAATCTATGATTAGACTCTAGCACCCCTATGTGGTACTAATTTGATAAAACAATTTTTTTTCCAAGGAGGTAGAGAATTATCATTCCATCTCGTCTAATGAGTAAAGCTTTATTCATTAAATCAACAATTCCCAATCCTCCATAATTTTTAGGCTTAGAGATATTACTCCATGCAACTAAATTTCCAGCTCTCCAATTTTTAGCTCCTTCTGTCCAGAAATTTCTCCTCTAATACAATCAATTCTATCACAAACCCATTTTAGGAGTAAAAATAAAGACATCCAAAACAGGGGAATGACAGAACAAACATAATTTACTAACACTAACCTACGCCCTCTAGATAAAGTTTTTGCTTTCCAATTGGACAGTCTTCTCTCTACTTTCTCAATAAGAGGATACCAATCACTTTTCGCCAATTTGTCAGGTCGTAGAGGAACCCCAAGATAAGAAATAGGGAATGATCCTTCTTGACAATTCATAATCAGAGCTACTTGCTGCTGTAAAACCTTATTTTTGAGCGAAAACGGAAGAGAAATGTATAATAGGGATTGAGGGGGTTCCGATAATGGGATGAAAATTTCCTTTTCCGTGTTGTGTTTTCTCAAAGAGAAAACTACTTTATATATAGAGGCTACATCTCATTATCTCCACTCCCTCAAAGACTGCCTCAGATATCTGAGAGAGATATTCTCTCTAACAACCTACTACCCATCAGATATCTGACAGAGATGTTCTCTCTAACAACCCACTATCCATCATCATCTCAACAAAATATTCTTCTGTTGAGCTATTAGTGGTTGAGTTGGTCACTAATTTGAATGAGTCAAATAACATCTCCTACTTGACCAATTAAACCAAGTGATACGTCTCCCACTATCTATGAGATCAGATATTTCTTCATACCATTACTGTCACTATTCGTCAAAAGAGTAATTCTTATTTCATTATTCATGAAATTTTACTTAGGCATTATTTATTCCTAAGTTCCATCAAACTTAAATGTTTGATAAAAGATTTTGTTGTTATTCATTTTGTCAAAGGATTAACAATCATATATATAGTAGGGATGCAAGTCAATTTAACGTATCCCTTTTCTATAATATCTCGAATATAGTGATACTAGATCTCAACGTGTTTTCCTTTGGATCTATTCGCACCACTATTGATCAAGCTAATCGCTGTTAGATTATCATAATAAATATCAACATGTCCTTCTAACAAATTGAGATCTAAATCAGTCAAAAACCGTCTTATCAAACAATATGTATAGTTGCTATATTGCAAACTATGTATCTTGCTTCTTGTGTGTATCTAGCAACACCTTATTTCTTGCTACTCTAAGAAACAACTCCTCCTCCAAAGATGAACAAATATTCCGAATTCAACTTTCCATCATCTTTAGCACCTCCAAAATTTACATTGGAGTAACCGAGGAGATGAAGCGAATTGGCTTGATAAACCAATCTGTGACAATATACCTCTAATACACTTCATAATTCTTTTAACACTTTCTCAATATGCTAGTCCTGGATTGTTTTGATATTGACTAACTAGACTTATACCTCTAATATATATTAAGCTTCCAACTGCTTGAGCATAAAAAACATCTAATAGCTTTTGCCCCTTTTTAGTGCTTTGCTCTTTACACAGTCTCTCTCATGATCAATGGAGTTGGTGTCGGATTAGAATTTTCCATTCCAAACCTTTTAACAACCGGTCTTAAATATTTTTTCTGGTTTAGCTTAGCATTCTAAACTTTCTATCTCGAACTATTTAAATTCTAATGACATATGATGTATCTCCCATGTCTTTCGTTTTAAATTTTTCGCTGAGATCTGCCTTGGTTTTGTTCAACATTTCCATGTCATTGTTGGCGAGAAATATCATCTACATATAAGGCTAATATAGTAAATTTGCTCTCATTTTTCGAGACATATACACAATCATCTAATCTATTTTGAATAAAACCAAGTTTGGTGACCGTATCATGAAAATTGAGATGCCTTTATCAAGAAGATTGTTTTAAACTGTATAAAGACTTCATTAATTTGTAAACTTTATATTCCTGTCCTTCCACCAGCAAACGTTCCGGTTGTTATATATATATCACTTATTTTAACTCTTCGTCAAGGAATGTTGTTTTAACATCCATTTGGAATAACTCCAAATCAAGATATGCAACAATAACCAAAATAATTGTAATAGATTCAAATTTAGCGACATTAGAATATGTCTCCTGAAAGTCTACTCCTGTCTTCTGGTTATAATCCTTAGCAACTAACCGTGCTTTGAATTTATCAATAGACCAATCAATACATTATTTCTTTTTAAGCACTCATTTACATCCTATGACTTTTCTATTTTTTCGGTAGATCACATAACTCCCAAATCTTATTCTTCTATAGAATCAAGTTTTTTTCTCATGGCTTCTAGGCATAAAGCTGATTCATGTGATTTCATAACATTAGAGAAGATTAAGGGATTTTATTCCTTCTATATTTGTATCTTTCGAGAAACAAGATGATTTACATGAATATAAATAGTAATCATCCATCCATGAAGGTTGTGGTCTTGACCTTTTGTTGCCTACAACCGGTTGATGAGATACATCATTTTTCATAGGTATTTCGTCATTTTTAAGGTTAGGTTCATCGATAATATCTGGATTATTAGTGGGAACAACATTGTAATAACTAATAATCATCATCTATTACAGTTAAAAGTTTTGTTTTTTCTTGAACTTATTCTTCTTCCTCTAAATTTTCTAGAAATGTAACGTCTCTGCTTTCAATAAGCCCTTTTTCTTTATTGTATAACTTATAACATTTTAACTTTTCTGGATACCCTATAAATCCACACTTTATAGTTTTAAAGTCGAATTTATCTCTAGGTTTGTATGGAATGAGAACATAGGCTATAGATACTCACTTGCTGAGATGACTTAGA